AAACCACTTTGTTCATGGACCTTGCATATGTAAAGCATCATCTCCCCATTGTGACCATCGGAGAGAAGAGGGAGCAATCGTGACACCGACAAAGCCATTCCACCGGCTGCTACCTCAAATGGATCATGTCGTCATAACCACAAAATCCTAGCAGGCGAGCCTCACTACATTGTCGCCTCGCGCATTTCACCAGCTGGAGAGGAGTCGTAGCAGCCGCATGTGGCGGCGAAGTTGCACCACCCCATGGATCGCCGCCCTTATGACCCCACTAAATCATGGTGGTCATGGATCCTCGCAGATTTGCAGCTTCGCCTCCCCCATTGCGACCACCAGAGATGAGAAGTAGACACCACGACGGTGATGGAGCCGCACAGGCACTAGCGGTTGGGACAGAAGGGGGCGGGAGCAGCGGGTGGACATGAAGTTTCTTGAATGGATAGAAGCCAGTCTCACTCCTAACCCGTTCAAACAGAAGGGAGTGATTTATGCGGTGACATCATGCTTTCCAATGACGCGGACGGACCTGCATCGAGCCTGCTCAATATTGAACATTTGCTCGGATATATCTTGATTCATGCAGCCAGATCCGGCGGGACACATCGTGTCGTGCCGGCGGTTGCTACTTCTTGAGCTTGCGTTGGTTTTTCCCTTGAAGAGGAAAGGGTGATGTAGCAAAGTAGAGATAAGTATTTCCCTCAGTTAGAGAACCAAGTTATCAATCCAGTAGGAGACAACGCACAAATCACTAAGACCTGCACAGACAATCAAACAACTTGCACCCAACGCGATAAAGGGTTTGTCAATCCCTTCACTGTTACTTGCAAAAGTGAGATCTGATAGAGATAGATGAAACTAAACAAAAGATAGAGTAAATATTTTTGGTATTTTTGTTTTATAGATCGGAAAGTTAAAGATTGCAAAATAGTAGACCGGAAACTTATATGATGGAAAATAGATCCCGGGGCTATATGTTTCACTAGTGGCTTCTCTCAAGATAGCAAATAATACGATGGGTGAACGAATTAGTGTCGAGCAATTGATAAAAAAGCGCAAAGTTATGATGATATCCAAGGCAATTATTATGAAATATAGGCATCACATCCGTGTCAAGTAGACCGACTCCTGCCTGCATCTACTACTATTACTCCACACATCGACCGAATCTTGCCTGCATCTAGAGTATTAAGTTCATGAAGAACAGAGTAACACATTAAGTAAGATGACATGATGTAGAGGAATAAACTCAAGCAATATGATGTAAACCCCATCTTTTTATCCTCGATGGCAACAATACAATACGTGCCTTGCTGCCCCTACTGTCACTGGGAAAGGACACCGCAAGATTGAACCCAAAGCTAAGCACTTCTCCCATTGCATGAAAAACCAATCTAGTTGGCCAAACTAAACCGATAGTTTGAAGAGAATTAGAAAGATATCAAATCATGCATATATGAATTCAGAGAAGATTCAAATAATATTCATAGATAAGTTGATCATAAATCCACAATTCATCGGATCTCGACAAACACACCGCAAAAGAAGATTACATTAGATAGATCTCCAAGAACATCGAGGAGAAGATGGTATTGAGAATCAAAGAGAGAGAAGAAGCCATCTAGCTACTATCTATGGACCCATATGTCTGAGGCAAACTACTCACGCTTCATTGGAAGGGCAATAGAGTTGATGTAGAAACCCTCTGTGATCGAATCCCCCTATGGCAGGATGCCGGAAAAGACTCCTAGATAGGATCTCATGGGTACAAAAGGTTGCGGCGGCAGAGAAGTGTTTTCGTGGATGCTTCTGGTGGTTTGGGGATATTTGGGAATATATAGGACGAAGAAGTAGGTCGGTGGAGTCAGGGGGGGGGGGCACAAGGCAGGGGGGCGCGCCCTCGCCCATTGTGGCCGCCTCATGGCTCTTCCGACTTGATCTTCAAGTCTCCTGGGTGTCTTCTGGTCCAAGAAAAATCATCACAAAGGTTTTATTCCGTTTGGACTATGTTTGGTATTCCTTCTCTGCGAAGCTCAAAAACAAGAAAATAATATAAAATAGCATATTAATGCATATAAAACATCCAAAACCGATAATATAATAGCATGGAACAATAAAAAATTATAGATACGTTGGAGAACGTATCACCGTTCATGGAGATAATGTTCTCTCATTAACATTTTTGTTCTTCTTTATTGATCTACAGGGCCATGTATGAGTTTGTATTTTGTATATGTTTTATTTTCAATGTATCTTTGAGTCTTTCGCACCCTTTAGTATTTCAAACAAGACATTTAACATGATTATAGGCTAACTTAGTCTATTTGAAATACTCATTGCTCATAGGTAAATGTGTCTCATCTACGTAGCAAGGTCGGTGATCCAAAGGATCTCCGCACCAGACAATAAGACAACTACAATAGGACTTACATAGACGACTTGCAAGGAGAACAACATGTAATAGGTACGAACAAACTTTATCCTTGAGTCAAATCTATTTTCCCAAGGCGGATCGAGGATTTAGATATGACAGGGGAGGAGCAAGATTTAGATACAAGGGAGACAAAAAGGATATGGTCACATAAAACACAAAACGTCGCCTATATTAAGTTCCATTTAATATTTGTGTTTTCCTTTGGTTTGTTAAATGGTTTTGTGCATCGCAATGATACCTAGGCAGGAGATTTCACCCCCCTCCCCTCCTTAATGTGGCCTTCCATCTATTCTGAACCACTTCTCTAAAACCTTCTCTTTTGAGCCAACAAGCTTCAAATCTGAATAGATCACTATGAGGGGCACATGTTCAGATAACTCCTTGTT